AAGAGACTAAAACTCCATATAACTTTAGAAGTTTATTAATTTGACTGTTTGTTCGATCGGTACGATAAAATATAATTTATTTTTTTATTTATTGAATTGGAAAGGCAAAGGAGCCGACCAGCCACCATCTGACGAAGTAGTGACCGTCGAATATATATGAACAGAACTATGGCTATCACGTCATCACGTGACGACTATGGACGTTATGCTGGAGGACTATAAGTTGTTACGCCTATGCACTACGAGTAATTTCACTACCTTTTACACTTTAACCGAAATACAGCTTACAAAACCAGCTGCTTGATAGCTGAAAGAGGCCGTACTACAAATTGATACTACTATGAACAATGTTTACATAAAAAAAAAACATAATAGGGATATTTTCAAGAGGATTCGGTTTAAATAACAGGAGTGTTGATAGACCATAAAAAAGTTTTTTCTGGTGGTGGTCTGGTCGGTTATATACATGAACAGTACTAAGGACATAAGTTGCCTTTCAAGCGGACTAAGATGTCATGCCTCCATATCCTGTTATTTCACTGTTTTTCTACCCTCACATATTCTTTTAAAGCTGTTTGGCGGCTGAAATAGTTGAGATAAGAATAAATCGCATTCTTTACTTTGTTCTATCACTGTAGTAACATGAATAATTTAATTAAATTCATTAGTCACCATCATCATCAGCTTCTTCCTTATCCCATTTATTGGTTGGTGTAATATTTCCTTTCTTACCATATCACAGTCCATGCATCTCTTTTTCGATCTTACTCTGCCCTTATAACCATCCACATTCATGTAACATCTTCCTTAAGATATAATCTTCACTCCTACGCATTACATGCTCATACCATGACAGACGATTACTCTTTAACCTCTCCGTCATCAGCGCCACTTTCATACTTCTTCTAATGTATTCATTCTTTATCTTATCCATTCTTGTCACACCACGTATCCATCGCAACATTCACGTTTTAGTTGCATACAATCGTTTTTTATCCACCACCTTTACGAGCCAGCATAGTGATCCATACAAGATAGCAGGCCGGAACATGGACTTGTAAATTTTACCCTTAAGTTTAAGTGGAACACGTGAGTCACACGTCCATCCAGTTCTATGTAAGTATCTAGTTAATTCTGTGCTCTATGGTTCAGTCTAATTCGCCATTGCTTTGGAGGAGTGAACCTAGATACCGGAAATTGGAGCAGACCGGTATTGGAGCTCCATTTAGTGATATGGCTGCAGAGTCAGAAAGACCGCCAAGATCGCAAATAATGTATTCCGTTTTGGAATAATTAATTAAAGTCATTAGTATTTTGAAAAAATATACTCGATGTAATATTATACGAGTAGGGTTTATCTTACCAATTTTCTATTGAGTAGGACAATATTTTTTCATTCACTAAAACTCATTACTAAGTAGTAACTTTTACAATATGTTTTTTAAGTTGAAAATACAAGTTTTACCTCCATTTTCAAATGAGCCAAATGTATATGTTCAGTAAATAATAGGTAAAATTATCCTGTCCATTATATCATAAACCATACAATTCGTCATTCAACTTGTATGACTGAATACGGTCGGGCAAGTTAAAATCCGTAAATATAAGTGTATATTTTATGTATTATTTAATGTGACAATGTGGGACAGATTTGAAATGTTGTTAATTATCAAAACTATTAATCTAATAATACTGTTCCTTCCATATATAATTGGAACTGAATGTGGTAGGGGTAAGTGATAAAATTGAATATATTTCTTAATTTAGGTCATACGCATCTGAATTGAATAAATTGAAATATTCGATTCAATAGAACAGAAAATTATTCATTCAAATAAACTTACATGAAATCACTTTTGAATAGTCATAGATTTTTTTTATTCTACCGCTTATTCGTATCAATTAAATTTAAAAGTATAAATACTATCAAATAATTATTCGTATTAGATATGACATTTGTATTCTTTTATAATTATATAACACTGTTTGAAATCTTGACAGATGCATAGTTGTTATATGTTAACGGTTCTCTCTCTTATGTTTTAAAATGGTTTACGGCAAATAACATGCTACTAAATTTAAATAAAACTAAATGGATGAACGGATAAAGTAGCATTATAAAGACTTAGTTCTGCCCTCGACAATTTTTATCCTATGGTATTTTGTTATGGGGCAAAGCAGCTGATATAACACTGTTTCTAAAACTACTCATACTTGATAACATAAAGCATTTTTTATTCTCAGATATACATATTGCTACTAATCAGTCACTGGAGTATATGTATTTGCGATAATAATGTTTTTATAGTGATTTAAACCAACATACTTATCATACAACGTTACATGTAAGTAATTTTTATATAAAAAAACATCTTGCAACACACAAGTTTCTTAGTTACCCAACTGTTTGAAATCTTGACAGATGCATAGTTGTTATATGTTAACGGGATGAACGGATAAAGTAGCATCATAAAGGCCTCGTTTTATCCACTGTTTCTAAAACTACTCATACTTGATAACATAAAGCATTTTTTATTCTCAGATATACATATTGAAGAAAATAACAATTTAAAGGGAAATTGTTATTTTCTTCTTTAGAATTATATGAATGAATTATGTGAATATTTTTCAATATTATTTTTATTGATTATTACGACTGTTTATTTTTAGTACTCTGCTGTTGGCCGCAAATGTTAGGGGGCGAGTGCAAATGGCACTCCAATCCGCGAAAGGACTTATAGAGCGGCTGAAGGCCAACTCCGCCCTGATAGATACGACTTTAGTCTGAGGGCAGGGCTACGGGTTTGAACCTCGGCTCAGGCCGTCGCAATTTCGATTTCCGTTTGAATAGGACGGGGGTTCGATCGGAGGGGTTACAACTGTGTTATGATAAAATATAGTAAATAGAGACTAGTTCGAGGTAGACTTTATACGAAGTCGTCTATCTATCTATACACCAATCTCTTTAATATATAAGACCCACATATTTTAATACTTAAATATAATCTAAGATCATGCATGTTGTGTTTACCATAAAATAATAACTGTATATAGTTAATTTAAAATAGTTACAAGTTGTCTAATTGTAAACCTGTTTATGATCCTATATACATAAACACTTGCTTCGCTTGAAGGTAGAAGAGATAAGATAATAAAATTATAGATACAGGAGCACAACATAGTAGTAATCGCAATAAATAAGAGGTACTACTGATAATTATTGATATGATGTCCCTGGTGCTATTTATGTATATAGGAGACCTCTTTTAGTGGCTACGCTACGCTAACGGTTTACGCTGGCGGAGCACTAGTGAAAGATAACCATCAGGGCAGGAGGGCTAGCTAAGCGTAACAAATTTACCAGGAACTTATCATGATGGTTTCCAGGAAGAGCCGCGTGGAGGTCAACCTGACATGGTATACTGCTAGCAATAGGCTAAATAAATATATGTATATGAAATAAATAATACTTGAAGAAAATTATTTTCAGATAAAAATGACACAGGTGTATATGAACGATGTGATGTAACTGACGTTATATTTACGAATACATCAGACAATATAAATATAACTCTTTCAGTAAAAAATATAAAATGGAATAATGCCTCTTACTATCTAATTTTAAAGAAAAACGACCAAGAGTGTGACAAAAAAATTATTTTTCAATTAAGTCATATTAAGACGTACAAATCTATCAGCAAGTATCCTATTTATATATCTATATTATGAGTATAAGAAGTAAAGAATATATTATTTATGTATTTTCAATGGTTTATCCATTATAAAAAACCAAATCGAGGTCAAGAAAACACAATCCATTAAAAAATCACTCCCATAGATACTTACATTATCAGCAATTAACATTATATACTAACTGACGCCACAAATGCTGTTTTGACATATAAATTAAAATCAGTATTAAAAAATAGGGGTTGATAATGTATAAGGGTAAAAATTTTAAGGTTGTATTTTTTGATACTCAATAAAAATAAAAATAACGTTCAAAAAATAAACTAATGTTAAGGGTGGACATTATCACTTATGGATATAAAAAATAGATAGTAACCGATTCTAAGACCTACTATATGCGTCTAAAATTGCATAAAAATCGGTCAAGCCGTTTCGGTAACTTACATTGTGACACGAGAATTTTATCTATAAGATATTCGACGTTGGTAGTACCGCGGATTACAACTAGTGTATACTAATATCCATCTATCAATACTTAGTATTATAGATGCCAAAGTTTGTCTGTCTGTGTGTTTGTTACCTTTTTACAAAAAAATGGCTGAACGAAACACTATATGATAAAATCTTAAAATGGATCGAGATAAAAAATGTATTCACAATAGTTTAAATACAATCTGTGTCAAGTACTGGAACTGTATGATTGTGTCAATTTACATGAAACTAAATTTCTTAAATGTGTATGATCACTTTTATAATACATAAGTCGAAGTTCGACCACAGAGCAAACAATCGGTAATGAATATCCCTAATTACTTATAATAACTACTTTATAAATATTTGTTTGTTTATGTAATTAATGGTATTTATTAAATAAAGTGCGTGATTATCCTAGCGATAGGCCCATTTCCCTCGACGGCCTCGGCAGTCTATTATATGTTTAGCACATCGCCTTACTTCCGAACGTTGCAGGTTCAATACCTCGCACGGTGCAAACCCTTTGTTTTTATGATATATAATTATTTCTAACGCTCTGGATATTTTCTATGAATGCAAAAAAAATAAGCATAGTATTCATAACACAAGCTCTGCTTGGCTTGAGATGGCGCTGTGTGAATTGTCCTTAATGCACAATGCGAAACATATCTTAGGCTACAGGTATAGATTTGTAATGTAAAGTAAAAAAAGTAATATCACGTAAATAATTGTTCCATCAGTGTATAAAAGCTATATCATAAATTAGAAAAAATATTTATTTACAAGACTCTATCATAAGTTTATAAATCAATATTTATTTACAGAGAACCTTAATAAGTCTTGCGTGATGAACTTCAACGAATCCGAAAAATGTTTGGGTAAGTAGATATCCTCACTGTTATCAAAATGCAAAAGTTGTGTGTCTACATGTATACAACTAAAACGGCTAAACAAACTTTGTGATAGAGTATGGACATACGCCATCTTTTATCTCAAAAACTCATACAAAATCGCGAGTAACAATTATAATATATACAAATATTATATTACTTGTTATTGTTCAATTAATACGAAGGGGGTGGTTAATCACTTGCGCTGACTCTATTAACTGGCGGGGCACCACTGGAGGGTCATAGAATGAAGTCAAGATTATTATCATGGGTGTATATCCCAGGAATTAACCACTATGGATTTTAGAGGCAATCCACGTGGAGATCGAACTGACCGACATAGTCGGCCATATCATATATACGGACATATGTATCATATCATCTGCTTCTTCCTTATCCCATTTATTTGGGGTCGGCCTAAATAAAAGTATGTTTTTCTCTTCCATTTATCTCTTTTCGCAGTCATCTCGTTATTTACGCCCTTTCTTACCATATCATCTTTCACACAGTCCATCCATTTCTTTTCGGTCTTCCTCTGCCCTTATTACCATCCACATTCATATGTAACACCTTTCTTAAGATTAGTGGATTGCTATCAATGGGGTTAGTATTCTAATATTATCATCTGGATGAATGTCTGTTCTCCGCCTTGCGTTTTTCAAAAAACTTTTTGTTACGCACAACTAAACTATGGAATCATTTTCCAGCAATGGTATTTCCAAACCGACGCGACATTTAAACCTTCACGAAAAGAGCTTAGTCCTTCGTAAAAGTCCAGCAACACTCAAGGAATTCCCCTGGTGTTCCGGATGCTCATTAGTGACGGTAATCACTTACCATCAGGTGCGCGGCAAGCTATAAAAAAACTAATATTTATATATTAAATATAATATTTATTATACTACAATATTTTCTGATAATGTTTCTCTACTATTTTGAAACCACTGTGGTAGCAATCAAGAATGCGGCCCATCTGATGGTACGTTACTACTACTGATAAACGTTTTCCTCGAAGTTTTTCTTTTAATTTTTGGAATAAATAAAAATCGCAAGGTGTGAGGTCGGAGCTATAAGGCGGATGACCCAGTAGTTCTACGTTTGAGGTCGCCAAATAATCAATCGTTTGCCTGGAGGTATGCGACGAAGTATTGTCGTGGTGAAGGAGGATCCTATTGTGAGGTCGTTTCTCACGCATTTTTTTTAAAACACGTGGCAAACAATTGTTACTGTACTACTCTGTAGTAACTGTTTTACGATCTTCTAAAACAATTGTCGCGTAATGACCTGTCCTTCCAAAGAACGAGGCCACCATCTTTTTTCCCACGCTTCGACCTCTCTTCACTTTAGTTGGCAACTCCTCGGAAGGAAACACTCACTGAGCTGACTTTAGTTTCGGGATCATAACAGTAAACCCAGTTTTCGTCTCCCGTAACTATGTCAAACACAGAATTTGAGTCATCTCCGTTAAATCTTTTATGCATTACACGGCACCAAATATTCATGGAGGATTTTGTGCACTTGACTCATACCAATCATTAAGCTTGCCCGGATCTGCTGATAGGTCACTCTTTTGTCAGTCTCTATCATACGCCGCACAACACTGATGTTATCTTCGGTTGTCGCCGTAGAAGGCCGTCCCTCACGCAAATCATCGGTGAGATTAATGCGACCACGTTTAAACTAAGACAGTTGTAAACAGTGGCACGAGACGGGGCTTCATCGTGGAAGGCCAATCGTAGTCTATCATAACTTTCTTGTTGACTTAGATGACATCGAAAGTCATAAAAAATCATCACACGAAAATTTTCCCGTGTTAAGTTCATAATAACGTTACACAGACTATTTACAATTTGTCGCCAAACCGTAAAACACATGACAAACGAATAAATTGTATACTCAGTATTATTCGTAGAGTTCCATTTTCAAAATATTAACAATTTTATTTATTATATTGCTTTCAAGTAGCCAGTTCTAAAAACTTTCAGTACAGCCCTCGTAATGCTCTTGAGACATATAGAAAACAGTTAACATTTACCATCAGGTGGGCCCATAGATTGTTTTCGATTCCAGTTCCATAAAAAAAACATAAATTTTACCGTTTACATAATGTATACAATGGTACTAGTATTATACAGATATTTATACCTATATCATATTCGAGAGTATGTCATAAACTTAATGCGTCATTTACGGGAAAAAGATGATATAAATTAAATAAACAATGCAATAGGTATAGGCACGGAATAAAATACAGTAAAAGTCGTTTGTTGCAAATGTCATGCTACGGGTGTATTTTGTCAGTAGTCGGGTTTTACCCATACGGTACGATTTTGTTTATTTCTTTTATTTTGGGTTTTTAATTTGTATTTTTGTAGGTTTGGAAAGAAAATATGTTTAGTTCACATCTGAAATAAGATTTAAGAAATTATTCTGTCTCATGTATATATATATACATATATATAAACACCTCTTTGGGCACTTTGTTGATCACGCCACAACCTACACACTTGCTGATTCCACCTTTTGCACTGAATAACTTGACTCCTATCGCGTATATCTCAGGCGGTATGGCAACGTCGCATTCTATTTTGCGATGTGGCCATATATATTCGTCGATAGTACGATATACTCGACACTTTTTTTACTAATAATTCGTGACTGACTGGCTCCGAACGGCTAAATTTTTGGTATACACAAAGACTTTTTGGCTCTGAATATATTTCAAAAATCAATTAATTATGTTGATCACTTTATATACTCGTCCTTACTGCGATACTTACTTTCATCCGAATATATACAGATACCGTAACGGTCTATCAATTATGAATTTATTAATTTACTAATGTAGATATTTTATATTCGCAATGCTCCATACATGCAAGCTCCAGCAACGGTGGAGGCAGGGTCCCCCCTGCACCGTACACCGCACCCCGCGCACACAAACAAATTAGATATTTTTTGAATACACAAAGACTTTTTGGCTCTGTATATATTTCAAAAATCAATTAATTGTGTTGATCACTTTATATACTCGTCCTTACTGCGATACTTATTTTCATCCGAATATATATAGATACCGTAACGGTCTGTCAATAATGAATTTATTCATTTGCTAATCTAGATATTTTATATTCGCAATGTTCCATACATGCAAGCTCCAGCAACGGTGGAGGCAGGGGGGAGTACCGTACACCGCACCCCGCGCACACAAACAAATTAGAATAAATTAAATTCATAAGATTATTTATATATCTCGACTGCCTCGGTGGTCACACCGCTTTACATCCGATGGTCGCGGGTTCGATTTCTCGCACGGTGCAAACATTTGTACTCATCGGTCATCGATTGTTTTCATCGGTCTGGGTGTTTTATATGTATTTACAAAATAAAAATATCTATTTATATCAGTTCAGTATCAGTCTGTGTTAATTGTCCAGGGCTATTTATTATATTTTTATAAACGGTTATCTTTTTCCATCGCACCGCTCGCTATCGACAGTGAATTCATAGAAATGTCACTCTAAAAACAAAAATAGTTTTGTGTTTTGTATTTCAAATACAAAATGCAAAATAGGTATTTTCAAAATACTTTTTCAAAATAAAGTACCTTTTGAATTTTTGTCCAAACCTCAGATATTTTATTTATTTTAGGTATATCAATCATTACATAGTGTAGTATAAAACAAAGTCGATGTCGCATCTAACAGTACATAAATAAAGAAAGAAGACTTTTTGGCTCTGATACCGTAACGGCCTATCAATTATGAATTTATTATACCTAATCTAGATATTTTATATTCGCAATGCTACATACATTCTAATATCCGCCTCCATTCATTGTAACGGTGGAGGGACTAAATAGTTGAATAAAACTGAATAAGCACTTGCTCCACTCTATAGGTACTGCGTCGTCGTCGTATGCTGTTCATTTTTTCACTCGTTTTGGCGCCAAGAGAGGGTCACATAGTCGTGGTAAAGTTAAGAACTTATAATTTAATTTTGATAACAATAGATACAAGTAAAAAGTAGGTATTATATTAATGTACGTAAGTACTGTACTTAAAAATATTTATTCTTTATTGTACATTTGAAAAACTTAACACTTAAGGACTTGTACATATACACGTACATACTGCCATTTTCTCTTAAAGACATCCAGAGAAGCACTACATATTTATCAAATACGCGGGGTGCACCGACCTTTGACCTTATAACAGCTGATTCGCGCGTAACGAATTACCACTTTTTGGTATTTTATAGTGGATATGTCACTATAAAATATTATTATTTCTTTAGATTATGACATAATAACATAGTTTACATGATTTTGAAACATACGATAAAAAAAATTCCCGTAAAATGTAAAAGATAAAAAATGGTTATTGTTGGTTATCCTTAAGAGATAGACATATACCATCATGGACTTTTTTGTTGACCTTATTTTGATACATCTCTAAGCACTAGACAATACGCATTTTCATTAAACAGTATTGTATTTTTTTTATTTCTTTAACTTTAATGCACAAACAAATTTGTACATGTGGCGGACTTAATATTTTAACGTTATTTACTAGGCAACCATGAGTGGTGCAGCGAAAGATTATTGGCGGTGCACTAATATAAATAAGAAATGTCAAAAAAAGATATATAAATACAAAGCAAAATATACATTTCTATAAAAAAATAACAATATACATACATAAATATATAACCCATAAATGTATAAATAAATACATAATGATCCGATAATCAAATTATAAGTACAGTCTCAAATTGAAAGTAAGAAAAACAGAAAATATAGAGAGAACTATAGGGATATAACAGAAAGATGTTGTTACAAATTTAAATAATGTTGCCGTAATTTCTGTTTAAATGAATTTATTACATTATATATATATTTACGGCCTTATGATACTTTTTTTTTTTTAATCTATACATGTAAATAAAATTGGAGTGTCTGTTTGTAATATTGAAATAACCGTTTTTTA